TGGGAAAATTCTACTACCAGTCCTTCCTCACCTTAAACGAAATAGGGTGAATACATCTAATATACACTTTGTCGAAATGAGGCGCTCATTTCGGGTTTTCATCCGAAATTCGTTGCTACCAAATTAGCCTCTATACTTGGCATGCACTTTTTGTTAGCAATACCATGTTCACGTGTGAGTAAACGTGGACGGAATACGAATGGAAACGATTCAATATGCATGAAAGAACCTCGAGAATGATGCAAAGTTATGGACAACTCCTACTCTGCCCTGATTGCCTCCATACTTTCAGATGGTCTCGCGATAACAGAGCAGCTCATTCCGAACACTGGCTATGCGGAGAAACCAGATGTCTGGCTTGTTTTATGCGCAATTGCTCCACAATATTATGGCTCGAATGGGGAACAAAGAAGCGACTGGAGGGGAGGGAATGGCACTTATGCACATGGAGATTCTATGATTGCTCTGGCCATATTTAAAAGGATAGAAATACCAGTGACCGGCTCATGGATGACTGGTCACATATTCACCTGTGTTCGATTTTGATAAAAAAAACTTTGGACTCCATCAGCTTTGCCAAAATCCTCCACTAAAGCAATTTCGTAGCTGGTCGTGTAGGCAGCAACTGTCTGGAAGTGAGGCTTAGGCCTTACTTCTCCCAACTGTATGGCATTTTCTGTCTCTAACTAAAGTCACTAGTCCCTCAGTATGAGGATTATGTGTCTGGATGGGCAGTTTTTCGTTTGGCTTTTTCTTCTATTGGAATGCTTGCAGAAGCAGATATCCACACTTCCGCAGCACGTTCTTTTTAGTTGTTGCCCGTACCTGCCTGAGGAGGGCTCTTGTGTCGTCGAACTGTAGGTAGAAGTGATTAATTTTGCGATTTTATTCACTCTAACATAATTGTGTTATAGTTTAGAAGAAACTCCCCTAAAAGTATACATTTGCTACCCGAACTGCATAGTCGCCATCCCCCATACGTTGGGAATGAGAACTAATGCAACTAAATTAAAGTATGGTATAAAGCTGCTGTCTCTTTTCTGTGCTCTCGAGCTGTATGGGAACCTAGTAGCAAAATTACCTATTTGAGGGGCTAGTAACAGACTTTTTCTTTAATTTAATTTAATTTAATGAGAAACATACGGCTGCCTATCGATATAGATAGAAGCATAAATACACATTGTGTGAGCTAACGGGGTCCTGCTTTGTCTTTAAAATCTACCTCTTCATGTAACTTAAGAAGGGATAGGGTTTCTTATCCCACATCCCTGCGATTCTAAATCCGCTAGGCTCGAGGCTGCGGTTCAGTCTGAATGAACACGTTCCTTTGGTATGCCTGACAGAATGAAGTTCAATGCAACAATCAAACCTTAACCCCGATTCATCGGAGACGGGTTTCTGAAAGTAATGCACAAAATCTATGTGAGGTTGGTATAATTTTAAAAAATGCCACAATTAATTGGATAATTGGCTTGGTTTTGCAGTCAACTGCATTCAAACCC